GGAAGGAGTATTTAGCTTGTGGAAAAGCTGTGACTTCTCCCATCCTGCACAATCAGTGGGTAAGAGGGAGAGTATAACCGTGAAGACTCCCTCCTCTGCTCCAGATACACTTACGAGCTGGATTTTTCTTCATTCATGAATAAATACAGAGACTTTGCAGAGAGTATCACCTCTGTGGACTGTCACATACATGATCTCTGTGATGGACATGTGCCAAAATAACATTGAAAAAAAGGGCCAAAATCCCACTCTGCTCAATTTTCTGTGCCAAAAAAATGTGTGAGTGTACTTGCTTTCTTGGGAGTTTTGCCTATAGCTAATCAGTTTGGAGGGAACTCTACCAGAACTAATGATCATTGACAGGAATTGAGATTAAGGGATCAAACGTGGTGTCAAGGTTTGATGCAAATGATTTTGAAACCTCTTGGAATGCTAAAACATTGGAAAAGTAATGTCACTGATAAAAACTTGAAGAAATATTTTACAATGTACCTAACATTTTTGCATGAAAAGCCTCTTTTCATTTAAAAGCTGTAACACAAAAAGTATTTTTCTTTAATATGACGTGTAAGATTGCTTTATCTGAAATCTTCACAAGTTATGGTTTTAGTGCATAAAAGTGGCTGGCTTTGTAAAAGAAATATTCAATAAATTTATAATCCTTTGCCATAAAAATGTTCTTGCACTAAATTGCATCAGTAGGCAAGCTGACAGACATCAGGATATTTCATATTCTTGCTGAGCGGAAGAGATTATCAAATCTCTGAAGAAGAAGAAGCGTGCTGACCGCTAGTCTCAATTCAATTTGTTACAAATCTAATTGGTTCCAAATACATTTATACTATAACCTATTTATAAGGTAATTTATTTCTGCTACTGTATTCCACAGAAAGTGGTATTGTCAGTGAAAAAGAAAAAGCTTCTTTCCTTATTTCACATGCATTCTGTGCTATAACCAGGGAAATCAAGGACTTCACATTTTGTGCAGTATCAGGGAACAGTTCAATAAAACTTTCAGATATTTATTATATTGCACTGTTTGCTAAATACTGATTTTATGGAGGATGACAGATGCATCTGCTTAATTAAGCAGAAGTGTTAAACAGAAGAACTGTCGTTTTGAATGTTGATATTTATATGGTATTGAGTTTAAGGTATCCAAACACTAAGAATTTTTTTTTTCCTAATTACATCCAAGGTTGTCTCATATCTGATGCTTTTAATGGTTCTATGATCTCTTTTTAGCTAACCTTGAAAAGATAGTCTCCTTAGTCTAATATTTTAACCATGTCTCATAATCCCTTTTTTGTTATGGCTCAGCCTTCAACCTCTTCCTGTGATGGTTAGAAACATTTCTATTAATTTGCAGCCTCTGTTTATTCATGACCAGGATCTCCTCACTTGTTCTTATGAAATCATTCTTGTATTTAAATATCTCTTTGTCTTCCATTCAGAAGGGAATTTTTTGTTGCTCCTGTTTGAATGGAAGACATTTCACCTTGTGCATTTAAAGTAAGTCCCTTCTTCATGTCTCAAGATGTCCAGCTCCCCTTCCGTCCACATCCCCCTCTGTACCGACAGTGCCTTGCCATGGGTCTGCTTTGTTGTAGCAGGAACATTATTCCTGTTGTTAATCAGCTGTAATAATATGCTTCCTTGGGGCTGTGCTTCCCTCTCCTTTACAAACGGCTGGCATCTTCCCCTTGGCTGATTACCCAGTTACAGTCTTATCCTGTTAATTTTATTCTGTCCTATCTATTGCTCTAGAGCTAAAGGTAGGTGATATTTACAGAACTTTATCTAGAAAATCACATGTCTTGAGATAGTTCTTCGCAGGAATGAAATCGTTGACTCTGTATTGTAGAGCAAATATGTTGGTGAGTTGTTTTTCCTTCTCATGATCCCCTTCCTGTCTTTCATTTCTTGTATGAATGTTAACAGTGGTGTGGTGTGTAGTGAAAGCAACTCGAAGAACCCATTACTTTGGCATGCAGTTCACTTGCAGGGCACCGGTTAGGACTGTCAGGCTGCTAATTGGAAAGTAGAGTAATAGGTACTGGAACCAGCTTAGAAAGAAAACAATTATTAATCTTCATTCTGCTGTTTAAATGAACATGGAGCAATTTGTGTTCCTCCTGACTGAGTTCAGCCCCTTTGTGTGTGCAGGGAAGCTGAGGCAATGGCGATGCAGAAAAGGGCCTGAAAAAGAGTGCCAAGCTCAGCTTTTGTTCTGCAGTCCAAATACCTTGTTTTTCTATCTCTCTTTGAGTGAACAGCTTCACTGCAGGGTTTCCTGAGGAGCCAGGATTAAGTGCATGAGTTCAAACTGCTTTGGAATAGTACACGACAAGGCAGAGTAATGGTAACTTCAGCGACCACCGAGAGAAAGCCAAATACCTTCTGGATGAGGTCAGGTCCCATCAAACTCCAGTGACAGGGCACTCACTGACCCCACCTGCCCTGAACCTCACGCTGGGACCCTGTTAGCAGCAGTGAGACAGATTATGCCTCGCCTCCCTTAAGGACCCACGTCAGCAGTAAAATCATAAAGATTTGCTTGTGCTTACTGCTTGTTTTAGTAGTGGCAAGAGTGCAAGACAGAGCAGTGTCAGATAATTTGTGGGTATCCTATCAACTCCTTGACTTTCTCCAGTTATAGAAGTCCAGCTCCAAGTCCTTCTTGGACGGCACAGACCAAAAATGCCATTGTAAATGTTCTTGGTGCGTTTGTTCAGGTGCACCACAGTAAGAGGTGCCACTCCTGGCATGAAGAAATACTCTATAGGGTTGTAAACCCTCCCTGCTCACTTCAGAAACCCAACTATGTCCTTTAACTTTTTTCTTTTATGATCCATTCTTCAAGTTTAAACACTCTATAATACAATTTAGAGCTGCTCTAGTGCGTTATTAGTGTCAGCTCAGCATGCTGTTCAGCTTTGTCTTAAATCCGTAGTTGACTTGTACTTCTGCCACACCAGTACGTACCTAGGTGAAACATATAGACTGAAGGAGACTCATAATATTCAGCAAGTCATGCCATATTTTTGAAAATGTTCAAAAAAGCTTATTCTTAGTAAAAATTAGGGCAAAGATGAGACAGAAAAATCTTAAAGCAAATGTGGTAAGCCTGTGAGATAAAGCATAAGAACAATGTATTGCGAGAGACATCGTGTCTTCCATAGATGTTTTCCATGACTGGAATAATTTTGACATATAAGAAAGGTTAATTAACCTGTGATTCTTCTCTTCTTGGCTGTATATTAACACATTTTGACATGATAGTTGTTTTCTGTCACTTAGTTGTTGGGGCAATCTCCACGGAGAAAGATTGGGACTTAAGTGCCCACTCAGATTTTAAAGAAGGCCTTGAGCATGTGCTGTGATGTCTCTAGCTATTAAGAAGGATGATAAAGAAAGGTGGGTGATTGGATGTGTTCCTGAATGATCATTCAGGATCCTATGCTTTCTTGGGGATTCTGTGCTGTGAGTATGTGTTATTTTGTGCCTTAATCATGCCTGCTGGGCTCATTTCCTATAGTTTAAATGCAAGATGACTGATTCTGGCATTACAAACAGGCTTTGGTGTGATTTGGGAGGCTTTAAGTTTGAAAACCAAAGTGCCTGTGGACTCTTAGGTACCTAAGCAGAAGTCTCAGGCTTGACCTTTAAGCATTTAGGTACCTCTGCTAGGTACTTAGGTAAAAAGGCACTGAGCAGCTCTGCACTGTACATGTTAGTTCTTTACTGTGAGGTTGGTGAAACACTGGAACAGGTTGCCCACAAAGGTGCTGGAGGCTCCATCCCTGGAGACATTAAAGGTCAGACTTGTTGGGGCTCTAGCAACCTAATCTAGTTAAAGATGTCTCTGCTGACCACACAGGGGGGTTGGCCTAGATGACCTTTAAAAGTCCCTTCCAGCTCAACGCATTCTATGATTCTATGCAACCCAATTTTGATAAGCAACGTGGCCACTCTTCTTCTGTGTTCTGCTTGTGAGTAGTGACACTGCCGGGGTTGTCTGTGCAGCCTCGTTTGCTGCTGGAAGCACTTTGCTGCATGCACATCCCTGGGAGCAGAAGTACATAGTAACAACTGTGATGCTGTGAGTAAAGTAATAGCACAGCAGCAGAATCACCGGTTTGAATTCCGATTCTCCTTATAAATGAACTCGTGTCTGTTTTCAAAGATCCTGGTCAATATGGATGAGGATCATCTCTGCCCACCGCTGCGTGACTCAGCCAAACTGTTGTACTTCTCCTTATGTGTTCTCAAAACACCAGCCTAGCTCCATCCCTGGTACAATGGAGAAAGCTGCTGAAAGTCTCACAAACTTTTGGTTCATCAACTTTAACCCTTTCCTACAGATTTAGCTTAAAAAATAGAAATTGACAGATTGGATTAAAAACTCTACTTTGCCACAATCCGATGGCTCTGGAGACCCCTCCAGTTCGTGCTTGGTGGGTGATGTTTATCAGAAAAACATAAAGTCTGTTTTAAAAAAAGGGTCTTGTAAACTTCTGGAAGTTTACAGCACCGTGTTCAGAGGGAGCAATATTTTAACCACTTTTGTGTTCAAGAGAAATATCAGACAATTGTAATCTGTCAGAGGCAATTCTTTGTAACATTGGTGCTTTAATTTTTGAAGATTTATATCCTTTTTGCATTTCCTTTAACCTATTAAATATGACAGGTATTTTATATGCTAGTCCTGAGCTCAACTCGTAAAGACTTAACTATACTTGCAGCCTCTGCACTGACGTTAGTATTTTTACATAAAATAAATCCAAACCACGACAGTACAAAATACATCACTGATGTAATTTACTATAAAAGTACTGGATTGCAGAGGCACAACTGTTATGTGATCATAAGCCCATATGTTAAAGTGCTTAAATACTCCACTAGGAGCCGTACTGATCATGGGTGAAAAATTAGCATCATCTTAGAGAGCGAGTTTTGGTTTTTCAGCCTTCTGAGTCTTGCCTTTTCTCTTCCTGCAGCTTGTGGATGTGACCTGGCTCAAGGAGGATTTTTTGTGAGACAGGGAGACTACATCTGTACTTTGGACTACCAGAGACTCTATGGCACACGGTGCTTCAGTTGTGATGAATTCATCGAGGGAGAAGTGGTCTCAGCACTGGGCAAAACCTATCACCCAGACTGTTTTGTGTGTGCTGTCTGCAGGTATGTTTTCCACGTGAAGGTGTGTTCCATTCAAAAACTAGATTTTGAAAGAATGATACCAGCATTCAAACTTACAGCCTAGAGATGGACAAAAAAATAGTTCTGTTTTCTACTGTTCACTCCTGAAAAGTAGCAGAATTTAAAAAAATAATATGAAAATTCCACATGCCTTTTTTTTTTTTTTTTTTTGGTCCCCCAAAGGCCTTTTCTGTTTTATGGTATTTTACGTGTGAGGTATTCAAAGTACTTGAGAAACTGCCACTGCTTCTACTGTCAGACCTTTTGCCCCTAATTTTGCTTTATTTCTCTGGTATCTGCTATTTTGTCTTTTGTTGACCAATGTTACAAAGGATTCCAATGCCAATGACTGAGTCTTTGGCAAGCCAAGAAGATTCTATATTAATAAGTTTAAACTGAAGTTTCACAGTGCTGCTTCCCAGAAGCTCTGATAGTCATTTAAAATAGGATAGAAAGTTCCTGAACTCACAAACACTTATGTACTAAGGATCTCCAGCAGCCATGGAGGACAAGGTGACATACCGCACAAGATTTTCCCCTGCTGTAGCCCAGTGTATTTTGGTGGGTTCATGTCGCATGTGGATATGTGCAATGTTGTGACCCAGTATTGGTGGGAATGTTTGCAGACTCTGCAGTACAAGTGACTGATGTCCATTTGACCTCTGTCTTACAACACAAATGAATCTGTTGAAGACTTCAGGAAGAAGCTTCAAGTCTACCAAACCTTGAGGAAATGCACTGTTATAGTGGTTTGGAGCAAATGGGAACGCTGTAATAATTTGTCTGGCTAAAGGTGAGCCTTTAGCAGCCTCGGTTCCCCTGTGTTGCCTGGTCTAGTTGAGAGGTGGTTTCCCTGCCCAGGACGGGGAGGTTGGATTAAATGATCTCTAAAGTCCCTTCCAACCTAGGCCATTCTATGACATGATTCTCTGAAGTAATCCCTTGCTGAATGAGAAAGCACAATGAGGCACTGATGCACCACGTTCTAGATGCTGTATGTGCTGGTGCCTCATTCAGATGTGGTCCAAAACCAGTTTATCTGTGTCACTGTGTCCATCTGCCAGCCAGATATGCCCAGCTCGCAGGGCTGCCGAGCTCATAGATCCTTCTGTGCTGGTGGAGAAGCAGTACTTCAAATTCCAGAACAGCCATGGTTCATGGCAGGATCTTAATTTAGTATATGAGTTGCAGGAATAATTAAATGGCCAGGGAACAGGGATTGTTCAGTGCTGAAGAGAGAAAACTCCAGGGGGTTCTTATAGCTGCCTTCCAATACCTGAAGGGAACCTACAGGAAGGCTGAGGAGAGACTTTTCCCAAAAGTGTTCACCGATAGGACAAGGGGAAATGGATTTAAATTAAAGGAAAAAAGATTTATTTTGAACCTTAGGAAAATTCTTCAGTATGAGAGTGGCAAGAGTCTGGAATAAATTGTCCAGAGAAGTTGTGGCTGCCCCCTCCCTTGAGGTGTTCAAGGCCAGGTTGGATGGAGCCTTGAGTAGCCTGATCTAGTTGAGAGGTGTCCCTGCCCATGACAGGGAGGTTGGATCGCTACGGTCCTTTCCAACCTAGGCCATTCTGTGAACTGCTGTGTGTATATGCTCTTGGCCTACAGCCTGTTAGTATTCCAGCTGTTCTGCAGATGAGTACAGCTAATTCTTGCTACTTTTGTTTTTAGCGCTAGTGCCTTCTGTAAAGTGAATTTCATTTAAGAGGAAAAGAAAAATTTTGATTCTGTTTTCTTCCTAAAAGTGCTTGTACCCTCAGCCATACTATTGTGATTTAGCACTTAGGCATAAATTATTTACCTGTGGGTTACTATACTTAGCAGCTTAGTACCTATCTTAGATTCCTGTTGGGCCATTGGACATACTAACCTTCTGATGTATTTAGTCAGTCCTTCAGTTGGTAATTTGGAACTTTGTGGTACAATTTGATTTATCTCCCTGGAAGTTTAGGGTAATTTTCTGTATGACTATACTATTTATTCTTAGGTACCTGACAATTCGGGTGAGCTGAATTGCAATACAGTGAAAATACTAGAACATCCTACAAATATCTTATGTGTTGAATACATGATAAAGCTTTTAAAAATGAAGCTTCTGATAAAACAGTGTTTCATATCAAAAAAATATAATCAGAGATGTTCCCTAAACTGCATAACTAAATAGTTGGATTAAAAGCTATTTCACTGATGAATTTTCTAGTTGTTGCTATCTAAAACTTCAGTAGGAAGACCTGGATCTGCTTCTGTTGTTTTCCTTAGATAGACACACAAATTCATGTTGTCTTCATCAGAGCCAACTAGTGCCCTGCTGACTAGCAGAGTTCAATTAGAGTCTCCCAGGAGGGTTGTAACACTGGCTTGTGGTGCAGAGCAACAGAAGAATCCTGTCATCTGTTTATAGTAAAAAACCTGGACCATGTCTTCGACTGATTTAAATCAGCATTGCTTCAATTACCCTAGTCTTTGCAAGCCAGATATAATTTATGTTTTTTATGGGAGTGTTCTATTTAAACATCATCAGCATTTATTTTATTGAGTGATCTCCTCAGTAAAGTGAGTAGACTGTAAATACATGTCTTGTAAGCAGAAAAAAGGACTTTTTTGTTGTTTAAAAAAATAAAAGGTGAAAAACCAGAGCTGTTTGATTTGAAGTACAGGATTGTAAAGCACTCTGCTGTGGTGTTTTCTTTGGTGGGAAGAGTCAGGAGTACCATCTGTGTCCTGGTTTCTTACAGATAGGCAGAAACCCTAAATAATGGGCCAAAAGCATGCTGTCTGAGGCATGATCATGCGAACTGCATCTGATGTTTTCTTTTACAGCTGGACTTTAATGTGGATGCTCTGTTAGAAATTTGATTTCCAGAATGGTGTGAACTTGAGAGGTAATGATGGCCTGACAGTGGGGCTGATCCTGGCCTGATGGAAACCAAGCAAGGCTCTTAACAGCTTCAGCAGAAAAAGATTGGCAGCAGAAGGCACTTTGCTCTCATGACACAAGTCTTCAGACTCGTGCAGGATCGTTAAGTGCTTTAAATGAGCACCTTTATAACCTATATTTCCGTAGCTCTGAAGTAAGGCTTTGAAACTGTTCTTGCGATGCATAGTAAACCAGTCACAGTAGCAGTTCCGTTTTTTTTTTATTTTCAGAGAAGATGAGATTTGAATAGAAGCTGGTGGGAAGTGTGTAGTGCTTCAGATGGTAAAATGGGTGAGAAAATCTAATTTGCACACTGCTAGCTGAAGCAGTGGGGAAAAAGCCAGTAACACAAGCCCATTTGTTTTCTGGAGCTGCTGGTATTACAGCTTGGGAATGCCGCATGGCCAAGTGTCTCAGGAAAGAGCTATGTTGCCTGGTGCCCTCCACACTACATTCATAAGCTGCTGCCAAACACTGTGAAAAATTGTATGAGTCAGAAACCCAACTCATCCCTGGGCATCCCTTGGGACTCGGATACTATTGTGCAGGGATGCCACAAGTCAAAGTGTGGAAAAAAAAAGAATTAGTATTCAGAGAAAAACTAGTAAAAATACAGTATTATGTGTCATCCTATGTGATTGTTTCTCTCTATCTTGCATTGACCAGCTGGCTTTTAAACAAATTCAGATTTTATTGCTTGTTTGTTCTGCTGGCATGAAGATTGAGGGATTAGTCCCTTCTTCTTCCATTGCTGTTCATAGTTCCATGCCTAAAACTGGGAGGGGAGTAGAACAATAACAAGACACATTGAAATATGTTGCAGATTAACTATTTACTCTGAATTCCTGGGAAGTGGGTAAGCGATCTCATTCTTACAGCTTCATTAATTGGAAGGTGCTGTGTCCTCCAGAGGACTGCCAAAGACATTTCCTTCAAAAAGTTCATATGTTTGTAAAAGTGAAGTAGAAAGAAGGAGAAAATTAAAGCTATCTGTAGCAGAAGCAGCTGAGTTTTACTAGAATTGTGTATATAATTCTTACATGGCTGTCAAAGACAGGACTGTGTGGCTCTTATGTAGGATGGGAAAGAGCTGGAAATCGGGGCTTTTAAAAAGAAAAGGGTAATCACTTTGGGAGAAGTCTTAGTGTGTTATTAAGTTGTATAGATGTATTAAGCATATGTAAGATTTATGGTCTGCATAGGTTCTGTGATTTCACTATTACTAATGGACAGAGTGTGCATAGGGTATCAAAAATCTGGGATTTGGTTTTATGGGTTAATATAATTTGTGAATCGGGGGGTAGTTTATTCACCCAGTTGGAGTAATGTATATAATTGTTATAGTATGACAGAATTATAGAATTGTTTAGGTTGGAAAAGACCTCTAAGATCATTCAGTACAACCATTAACCTAGCAATGCCAGGTCCACCATTAACCATGTCCCTAAGCACCACATCTACATGTCTTCTGAATACTTCCAGTGACTCCACCACTTCCATGGGCAGCCTGTTCCAATGCTTGACAACCCTTTCAGAGAAGAAATTTTTCCTAATTCGCAGTCTAAACTTCCCCTTATGCAACTTGAGACCATTTCCATTTCCTCTTGTCCTCTTGCTCCTTATCTGAGACAAGAGACTGACCCCCACCTCACTGCAACCTCCTTTCAGGTAGCTGTAGAGAGTAATAAGGTCTCCCCTGAGCCTCCTGTTCTGGGATCTGTGGAGAACCTGTGGTTCAACACCTGGCTCATGGCAGGTCCAGTTTGAGCAGGCTGCTGACAGCATTAATTTAAAATATTTGCAAGTATGGGCCCACAGATTCTCTGGACAGCCTGTGCCAGCATTTGAGCATGCTCGTGGTAATTGTTTTTCCTTATATAAAAGTTGACATTTATCATGTTCCAGCTTATGTCTGCTGCCTCTTGTCCTTTTCCTCTGAACCTTTGAGGAGAGTGTAGCTCCAATTTCATATACCCACCATCACGTAGTTTTAGACAGCAGTAAGATCTCCCCTGAGCTGAACAAGTTCATTTCCTTCAGCTCCTGCACGTGCATCCTGTGCTCCGGCTCTGGATCTAGTCACTTCCAATGGTCTCCCTCCAGTAAATCTTGTTCCGAGGATCTTGAAATGTTGCACACTGATCCAGATGCAGTCTCGCCAATGATGAACAGAGGGGAATATCACATCCCAGGGCCTGCTGACTGCACTAATGCAGCACAGGATGCAGTTGCATTTCTTTGCCACAGGAATACTGTGCTGACTCGTGTTGAACATGGTGTCCACCAGGATCTCTACATCTTTTTATGCTTTTCAGCTGACTGACCCTCAAGGTGCACTGGTGCATGTTCTTATTCCTCCCTGGGTGCAAGACTTTGAAATTCCTGTAGGCAGTAGATAGCAAGTAATGTCCAGTTTGTGTCATCATGTTTAACAACCTTGGTCAAATTCATCCCTATGGAGCAACCTTGAGGGATGCGATTGTACCAGGTACAAGTTAGAGCGGAATTTGATCCTGTAGGTCCTTAGGTTGCAGTCTGACATTACACCTGACCAAGCGTAACTGCAGTCTACTACTGAAATTAATAGCTTTGCTCTCCCCACAACCCCAACCATATGCTTCTGTTAATTTTCTTATATCAGATTTAGTTGACTGTTCAGCCACAGTCAGACCAGCAAATTAAAGAACAGAAGGCCATCCGTCTGCTCTGAAAATAATTGAATACTTTCTTTTGTCCCAGAAAGCTTGAATGACTTGCCTACAGCTGCATAGGTTGAGGCATGGTGCAGGGAAGGACAAAACAAACCAGGACCAGACCTTTCAGCGTCAGCACACAGTTACCCTGGATTAGGCTGATGGTAGTTTGATGTTTTATAATACAATTTTGTTGGTGAGCTCCAGTTGTTTCTGGGTTTACAAATATTGTAGGCAGGTGGATAAGACAAAATTCATTGGGAAATGAATCATAGAAGATGTATCAAAATCCTATCCTACAAGTAATTTTGGTGAGCTGCTTTAAAGATGCTCTTAATTCTCATTTTAAAAATAGATTATCCAACTGTGAAAATCACACTGAATATTTTTAAAAGGATAAGTAGCTAATTAAAACCCATACCTAGCAATGTTCACGGAGTGCCTGGTGGTGAGATGTCATTGTATTTGAAGGCAGATACACTGCTCTTAACATACAGTGCTATATATAGTCCTGCTCACAAGTTAAAGAGCTCAGAAACTGAAACCTTGTTAATTGACTGTTACCACCTTCTGTTGTACCTTCACTTGTACTGGCACTGAGATCCTTGAACAAGGCTGCTTGTGAAAAGCGAGAGATCAAATGTTACAGAAATACTAGCAAATGTGGTGTTTAGGAATTCTGGATTCCCACTGAACAAGATAGTGAAGCAAACTCCGAGACTTAATTACAGGTTTAGAAGACCAACAAGGAAAGGAATTGTCTACCCGTAGCTTTGTGTGGACAACTTCCAAAGAGGATTTCCCTGGTTTTGTAGAGCAAGGTATCTTGCAGATGTGAAAAAGTTAATAGAGAATTGAAATTGTTGCCCTCTCCCATCTGAGTGAAAGGGCATTGTGGTTAGTTACTAAACTCTTGAGAAAACAAACCAGGATGTATTTATGGGCTAGGAAAGCCCACACATGCGTTCCCCTCTATGGGGGCCCTGTGGCATGCTGTGGTGCCTTTGAGCTTTGACATGTTTTGTGGTCATCTTTCTCTGTGCGTTAGGAGGTCCTGTTCTTCTCTTCTAGTTTTGACTTACTTTCTGTCAGATCAGCTAATACCCTAATGTAGATGAGCCAATTCAAAGTGATCAGTCCCTGCTTCTGCTTTACTTCCTGGGGTGTATTAGAAGGGGAGTAGCTAGTAGGTCAAGTGAGGTCATCCTCCCCCTCTACTCTGCCCTGGTGAGGCCACATCTGGAATATCGTGTCCAGTTCTGGGCCCCTCAGCTCAAGAGAGACAGGGAACTGCTTGAGAGAGTCCAGCGCAGAGCCACAGAGATGATGATGGGAGTGGAACATCTCCCTTATGAGGAAAGGCTGAAGGAGCTGGATCTCTTTAGCTTGGAGGAGGCTGAGGGGTGACCTCATTAATGTTTATAAATATATAAAGAGTGAGAGCCAGGCTCTTTTCAGTGATGTCCAGTTACAGGAAAAGGGGCAATGGGTACAAGCTGGAACATAGGAGGTTCCACGAAAACATTAGGAGAAACTTTTTCAGCACAGGCTGCCCAGGGAGTTTGTGGAGTCTCCTTCTCTGGAGACATTCAAAACCTGCCTGGATGCGTTCCTGTGTGACCTCCTGTACGTGATCCTGCTCTGGCAGGCAGTTTGGACTAGATGATCTTTTGAGGTCCCTTCCAACCCCAGACATTCGGTGATTCTATGCAGCCTCAACAGTGCGGAGTACAGGGGGACAATCA